TACTGCCCCAGTGACAAGCTGTTGTACTCCTAAAGATATAATTTTTTTTTACGGCGCAGTTATGCTTGGATCAGAGGTGTAAAGTATTTGAGTAAATGTAATTAATTACTGTACTTGAGTATCTTTTTGGATACTCTGCAGATTTTTTTACTGAGTATCAAAGATATTAGCAACTTTTACTCTCTACTTCACTACATTTTTTAATAAGTGTACTCTTTACTCCACTACATTTTTAATAAGTGTTGCAATTAGCTACACTATACATGGCACCTCTGTAGCAGTTTATTTCTGCTACAAAAGAAGTGATATCGACTAATGCAACTACAATGCATTAAAGGTACTATATCTTGTGCATTTTGCCCTTACTCACCCAAACCTGTCAACAAGGCTACTTTACGTGAATGCGAGTTCCTTAGCCACTTAACTTAACTGAAGACACCTTTTACTTAACATTATTTTACTTATCCGTTAAGCTGAAGACACCTTTTTGAAGTTTATTGTTTTTTTAAAGGTGTTCACTTTTATTTTGGTTTTAGAAAATAAACATGATTGCTTTCCTCACAAATCAACTATTCTTGTTTTTCACTGGAATGTCTCTTTGACATGTATCTTTGAGCCTATATTTAGTATAAGTAAAATACTTAAGTTCTTTTAAAATCAGATACTCAAGTTGTTTTGGATTTGGTGACTTGTAACTTGTAATGGAGTAATTTTAAATGTAAGGTATCTGTACTTTTACTCAGGTATGGTTTTTAGGTTCTCTTTACACCTCTGGTTTTGATTAATGTATAATTATGCTTTTTTCATTGTTATTATTATTATTATTATTTACCTTTGAAAGATGTTAAGGATTCTGTATTCTACTATTATAATGTAAATATAATACAGCTCATCACAATATTGGGGAAAAAATACACCGTCTTTTATAAAGATTTTAATGTAGCACTTGGAATGAACTGAAGATAATAGCTGACACTAGCTAAAATTTCGGATTTACTAAGCTACAATATGAGTAGCCTATTAACCCCACGATATTCCTTACCCGTAATACTTTAGTCCTTGCTAATGTAAGGCTTTTAAAGGGGTCATAGGATGCTACATGCACTTTTACAAGTTGTTTGAACTGAAATGTGTGTTGGCAGTGTGTGTACACAACCACCCTATAATGATAAAAATCCACCCAGTGTTTTTTTTTTTTATCTCGTTAAATGTTTTCCCCTTTCTCAAATCGAGTCGATCTCAGATGCCTGTCTGTGTGACGTCACACATACAGGCCCCTCCCACGGTAGTCTGACTGACAGTAGCATTTCAGCCAGTGTTGCCAACTTAGCGACTTTGTCGCTAGATTTAGCAACTTTTCAGACCCCCCCGGCGACTTTTTCCCAAAAAAAGCGACTAGCGACAAATCTAGCGACTTCTTGGACAAACCTTAGCGAGTCTCTGTGGTCACTGGTACTGACGCAATGGCGCGAGGTCAGCGCGCACACACCTCTCTCTCTGCGTCTGCTCTGTACGGCGAGCAGCTGAGAGGAGCAGCGCCTTCAGTTAAAATAGATATTATGTTGCTTCTCTAATTTTACATGCAAATATAGCCGAAATCACAGCACAGGAATTGTCTTTGTCTTGTCTTTTCTTATGTGCGTTTCATTTCATCAGACGATGGCTCAAATATAAAGCAGGATTTTTGTGCAAATTAAGGTCTTGGAAGGGAGAGCTGGTTATGTAGTCTTAAAGGGCTGCATTTCAGTCACTATTTCATATTTATTCTGTTGTCTGACAACAGAAACAGTAATATATATATA